TGGGAGTTAAAGGAGGAATGGGAAAAAAAAGAGGCAGAATATATCATGTACAAGTGCAAATTCCCTATGATGAGTATTATCATTATGTATATCTAACATGTACCAATAAATGTTTTGCTTCAAAAAAAAAAAAAAAAGAAGTAACTGTCTCAGATAAGCCATCCACAAATAATGACACAGACTTTCACTTTGGCCTACAACTCCAGGTGCTACTGGGCTCCTGATCCAGATTTCAGCTCACAGGCTCTACTTGCCTTCTTCTTAACCCAGCACTCCCATGTTACCCCATGTTGCCCTAATGATTGATAAATGGTGCTTACTCCACCACATATGATCTGGCTTGGATTTAACCTGGCCTTCCCTTCCTTGTTCCTCCCCTCTAGCTTCTGAATGCAGCTTCAAGGTTCCAAATTCCCAACATCTTCCAGTTTGGTGCAATGGTCCTTCCTCAAGTCTCTAGATATTGCTGGGAGAGAATTTCTGAAAACGGCAACATGGTGTAGGAAAAATAACACAACAGAAATGTGCCCCAGAAATAGGTCTATCCTAGAAGCAGAGGATTTATGTTCCAGAAGCAGGTCTCACCTCTACAGAGACGTACACCTTCAAAAGTTCAAGTTCTTAAACTACTACTAATAATTTGCACTTTTATTATGTATGAAGCATAGTGCTGGGCACTTGAAGTATACTAAGTCATTTTATCCTTTATTCACTTTGGAGGTAGGACTATTTTATTCACAGGCGAGAACATAAAGGCTCAGAATATCCAAGGTCAGATGGCTAATAAGAGGCAGAGCTGGAATTCTAATTTAGACCTGATTCAACATTTAAGATGAGACCCTGTGGCCTTATTTGTAAAATAGAAATATTATCCTTATGGTATTGTTGCAAAGATCCAATGAAACTTAGATAGTGGAAGCAAGTATATCAGAGAGCATACTGGGAGTCACACACCAAGTGACACTCAGCAAAAAAACTCTTCTGTCCCCCTGCAAAATCAGTGTCAAAATGTAAGGTATATTTGTTACTGCCATGCATGGTGGCACATGCCTGTAATCCTAGCACTTGGGAAACTGAGGTAAGAATATCACTGTGAGTTTGAGGCCAGCCTCAGCTACATACTGAGTTCAAGGTCAGTCTGAGCTACATAGTGAGATCCTATTTCAAAAAACAAACAAACAAAATGATGTGTCTGCCACTTTCCACCTGACCGCAGACAAGGTCAAATGGAGAAATGCATGGGGGTCAAGGATAATACTGCAAGGTGGGGGTTCATGCTACATCATGAATGTAGGAATAGTAACAAAAATGATCTGGGATCCCAGTGGATCATTAGTCAAGCATGACCCAGTAGTAATGTTTCAAACTATAGCAAAGATTTCATTGGGTAAGTGAAGAGCTTGAGAGGACACTACTTACCCATAACTATTACCATGGCAGATGCAGAAAAGGACCAAGGAAAGGTAGGTATCATATCATTTGGCAGAGTCAAGGTTTAAGTCAAGATGTGATGGGAACACTGCACTGAAACCAATCAAATGAAATGTGCATATGTATCCAAAAGTCCAAAGTTCCAGGCACAAAAAATTGTTTGACAGCAGATCATGAGGAGATAGCTGAGGGTGGAGTGTAGATGTGGGAGGAGAAGGGGCAGTAGAGTCAGTGAGATGACCTTAGTAAGTGGCCAAGTGAGGAAATGACTTCCAGGTGGGTCATGACAACTCCCAAGGGGCTACCAACCTGAATCTACTCTTGTCACTCTACAAAGCCATTTTGGGCTTAACTCTAGGTTCCAACTGTGAACTAGTGTGAGACGCTGTCACCAGACACTGGTGAGCTAATGTGTCCAAAGCCAAAGTGTGGGGCTGGAGTTTTGAGTCATAGAAGGAAGCAGAAGGTTATTTAATCTGCTGAAGACTCCAAGGCATCTTGAGAGTCATTCTAACACATCACACATAAGCAGAAGACATTGTTAGGTAGAAAAGAGGAGGCTTCTAGAAGGCTAGATATAGCAGGCAGGATTCCAGTGAGCACGGTGAGAGGAGTTCAGATTTCAGCTAGGAGTAGGAAAGAACTTGCCATCACTCACAGCTGTCTCAACATAGTGGAAGTCAGTCAGGATAGAGATCTTAAAAGTCCCTGGCGATTTTCCACCAGTTGCTCAATGGCTGGGTTACGCTGTAGAGAGAGCTAATAGGGTTGTGGGAGGTTGGACTAGACTAGCATGTTTTCAGTCTTTCTTGGAAATTCTTTCTTTGAATGACAGTTTATGGGAAGGCCAGTAAATAAAACACTGATTCTCTGGTTGGATTGAGAATAAGGACTAGACTCTCAGGGTCCCTACCTCTAAGGAACTTTTGCAATTTCCTGAAGCACAGTTTAAAAGCTCATGATTGAAGAGTTTAAGGTGGTTTTTTTTTGGTACTGGGGATTGAACTCAGACTCAAGGCAGGCAGCAGCACCACTGAGCTAAACCCCCAGCCCTGAAGAGTTTTAAGTTTTATAAACCAGTTTTTCTTATACCAGTTCCTGAGGTTTGAAGAGCTCAGAAGTAGCCATGTTTGAATGGATGCAAGAAATGAGCTTGCTCATTGGACGCTACAAATCATAGCATTAAGCCAGGAGCATGGACAGTTGCTTCTATTCCAGGCTTGGCTCCTGATGAAGGCAGCAATCTTCAAGTCATCTTTTCCCTTTCTGTGCTCCAGGTCTTTCATTTAGCAGAACAGCAATAAAAATGCTACCACTATGCCATATTAAGAGAACTGATAAAAAAAAAAAGAGAACTGAATAAGACCAACGTGCTCCCCAAAAATAAAGCATAGAGTGTGAGTGTGCCTGAGCGTGTGTGCACACACACACATACACACACCACCACCACCACCACCACCAAAAAATAAAGAGTCTGGAGGAATAAGAAACAGAATACACACATTCTTTCACTACCAGGAGGAAAATTGGCAAGACATGCTCCTCCAGACAGGTTCCATTGGTCTCCCAAGTCTTCTTAAGATTTGATTTTACTGTTGGAGCTAGGCTTAGAGGTGATTTGGAGGTTTCCTTCTTGTGAACTGAAGCCAGGAATGTAGGACACAAGATAATGAGTATGGAGGCCTAATTGACCTTCTCTGCCAGCACAAAAAACACCAAGCCGTGCCTCCTTTGGCAATGTGCAGGCCCACTAGCAAATTGTAAGTTCCAGATAAGAGTCAATACAACTGTGATCTGGATGTCTACCTGGATACATGCTATAGATGAATCTTCTGTTAATCTATTTGTTTCTGTGTCTAAGTGAATAAAAGCAAGGTGAGCAAAACACTCAGGGCTCTTTGTCTGCAACAGGCAACGAGCCCCCTGACTCCCTCATTTTAAATTATCTTTGTCTCCTCTTTTCTTCCTTGTTCACTGGCCAGTTGGGGATAAATTTGTAGGCTGGTTCCTACCCAGGGAGAGAAGGAGGATATAAGGATAGTGGCAGCATGTTACTAACTCACTAGTTCCTGCTAACTTCAGGATAAGCCACATAGTAAGCCCCTAGAAAATGTTAGTGATTATTAATGTGCATATATTACAAGGCCAGCTCTGAACTCACAGGGCCTCCTGTATTCTTGCATGAAACAGCTTTTTTTTGAGACTTTAATATTGTCTACTTGTTATTCCTTTATGTCATAACTACTTCCAGAGCAGGTACCATGGTCTGGCAAGCTTTGCATCCTCCACAATACTCAGTAGGATAACTCCTGACCCTCTTCTGACATGGTACTATGTTTTACTTTGTATTATAATTATTCATGTGAGTGTCTTCCTTGAACTGTGGGTCCCTCAAGGGCAGGGACTGAGCTTTTAAATCTGTACCTAGAAACAGAAACAAGTACGCTTACTTTAGCTCTGCTCTAAGGCTTTAGCATCTGCTGTTGCCTTTACCCAATACTCTCCTAGCTCAGCCATCAGCTATCACCTCTGCAGATGGCACTCTTGATCATTTATTGTCTCCACTCCAGACTGTTACATTAGTTTATTATTTTTACAGCACTACCAGTATGTGAAACAGTCTCATTGGCTTATTTGTCTTCTCCATGAGAATATAAGATACAAAAGAAAAGTTAAAAAGACAAACATAAGCTACAGATCTTATTTGCCATTTTCATTGTTGTATTACCCAGTTTTGTAAAGCAGTGGTTGGTATTTAAAGGGTGCTCATCAAATATGAATGATTGATGAATAAATGCTAAATCAAATGGGAAAGTGGCATTGGTATGTCTCCAAGACTGAACAAGAGGTCAGTATTGTGCAGAATGTAAAAAATAGAACACGTGGCTCTAAGTTTTACACTGGTTGGAGAAGAAATAAGTGCCAGTATGAATATCCTGAGAACAAGACAAGGCCAACTGTCAGGGGTGGTGGTGCAGGCCTATAATCCCAGCACTCTGGAGGCTGAGGCAGGATTGCCACAAGTTCAAGGACAGCCTGAGCTACGCAGTGAGACCCTGTTTCAAAAAACCAAAGACAAGGCAAAGTGTGATTGGGTACTAGGTGTGAGGCACAGAATCAGAGGCAAGAGAGAAACAGGCGGCTAGGGATCACATCCTAATCATGATCCTATGTCCTTCACTTAACACAGTGGCAGCAGAGAAGGTGTTCTGAAAAAGTGAGCAACTGCTGAACTGCCTGGTAATGCCAGGGGATTAGATGAGATACAGAGACTTTTGTGTCTTGGCTTGCAAATATTTTTATTCAACAAATTCCCAATCTATGTGTGTTAAGAGATCCTTCTGGTCTGGTGATATAGCTCAGTGGTAGAGGGCTTGCCTGGCATGCACATGGCCCTAGCTATAAAATTTTGTACAAAATTTTTAAAAAAGTGGGAGAGATTCTATATAAAAAAGGGTTGGGGATGTAGCTCAGTCATAGAGCACTTGCCTAGCATATATAAGATCCTGGGTTCAATCTCCAGTACAAAAAAAAAAAAAGGTGCACATACACAAACCAGTAAGATAATATTTTGGCTACAATTCATATAATTTATTTATTTAACAACTGAGTATCTTCTATGGTCCAGGCCATGTCCCTGGTGCTGAACACAGATAAATTCTGGCCCACAAGGAGCTCACAGTCTCATGGGGGTAAAGACACAAAAATAAATAAATAATGTAACTAGACTTTGTAAAGGGAACTGCTGTGCAAGACGAAGAGCAGGGAAACCTACATCCTCTGATCAATGTCTACAGCAAAGAAAAGATTGGCCAACAGACATTTTCATGAAGAATAAATAAGGCAATGCTTCTCAAAGTACAACTTGCTCATTACCTACATCAGAATCATGTGGAGCACATATTAAAATATACATCCCAGCGCCTTCTGCAAATATTCTAATTCAGAAAGGTATGGGTCTGGGAATCTACATTTTAAAGCACTCTGAGTGATTCCATTACATCTTAAAGTTTGAGAATCAATGAGATGAAGTTTAGTTTTTAAATTGGAATGAATAATGATCTACACATCAGTTGCTTTTACCTTTTTTTTTTTTTTTGGTACCGGGGATTGAACTCGGGTCCTTGCGTTTGCGCAGCAGGTGGTGAAACCACTGAGCTAAATCCCCGGTCCCTGATCAGTTGCTAATCTTAACTAGTATTAATAAGGGCAGGGGAGGTAAAGAAGAGGAAAGGGGTTGACATTTTTAAGTTGCCCTATAGTCTATACATAAGTTAACTTCTCATAATAATCCTATGAGGTAGATATTATAATCTCCACTTTACAGATGAAAAAATAATAAAGTTTAAGTAATTTGTTCAAATTGTAGGGCTAATGAGTAGCAACGATGACATTTGAACCCAGATTCATGTAACTATAAAGCCTGCCAACTTCTTATGGGGACACCAAGGGACAGATTAAATACAATTTTCTTTTAGTTCTTTGCTAGCTCTCTCTAGATAAATAAAGAACAGCTAGATGGTACTACAGTCATATTTAATATAATTAATTACCCATGGATACGTCCTTCTTTGGCCAGGTGGGATTGAGGGCAAAGCTGGAACTATAAAACAAATGGCCATTTTTTCTTTTTCCATCATTTTCTCACCCCCTGGTGGAGGTGTTATGGAAATGTACTATGTTAAGAACTAGGTCCACTTGGAGGGAAAAGCAAACATAATTAGATACCCACAAATGCAACCCCAACTGCTAAGATTTCTAGATTGCAAAACATCCAGAAGGTTAGAGGGCATTCAAGGGAAATAGCAGGACTGATAAAACTCTTTTCTCAAAAGATGAACTGTCAGGACAAGTGGCAGATCCACAATTTGCAAAGTACAACAAAAATAGACAGCTCAGAAAATAATGGGAGGTCCAATCCTATATAAAAAGCTTGGGAAGTCGGGCATGGTGGCACATGCCTATAATCCCAGCATTCAGGCTGCCATGAGTTCAAGGCCATCCTGAACTACAAAGGGAGACCTTGTCTCAAAAAAAAAAAAGCTTACAGGACAGACCCAACTTATAAAGACTTACATAATAAAGAAGATATACACACACACACACACACATGCGAGCTCGTGCACATAGACAAACACACAGAACAAATACTGCTTAAATTTCTACTCATCTTATTTTGCCATCCAACCAGATCTTAGGTAGGGGCAGCCGATAAATGTACATATTAGATTAAGAAAAGGAAAGACATAGTACAGGTGGCTGGGGGCACTTAGGGCCTAAAGTTCAGAAGGCTGGTATGCATCCACCATCCTCTTCTATCACTGAGGTGGGAGCTACTACAAACCACATGTGGGTTTTTAGTGCTAGAGAATAATTTTTCTTATTTCTGGTGTTTTAAGAAACTGCTATGTCTCAAGATGAGTCTTGAAAAAATCAGCCCATAGCACCAAAACTATGGACAGTTCACAGCTTAGATTTCACTATTTTGTGTAACAAAGACTACAAGCCAGATTTTACTTTATTCCTACATTTTCCCCACATTCAACCTGGGAACATGTGCTCCCACCTACTTTTTCATATAATGCTTAGGGTTGGTTTTAAAAAAATCATGCTGATCTGAAATGAACTTTTCCTTAGAAAAATGGTTTATTTATACTGTGCTGATTTACCTCTTCCAAACACACAGCCTCTAACAGGCAGAGTTACAGGAGCAGATGCCATAAACTACAGTTCTACAATATGTAGGCACTGTACCTGTTTATCCAACTGTATCTGAAATTTGTTGACACCGCAAGCCAGCTACACTAAAGATGACTCTGGGGGGCACCTAGATGAAGTCTTTATCCTGATGGGAATATCTTCTTGTTTTAGAGTCTAAACAGGACATTGGGATTATGCCTTTGGCCAGCTGATTGGCACATGAGAAGATTACATAAAGCCCACATCTAACTACAGCAGGTCTTCTAACTGATTATTACTCTGCCTCAAGTTTATAAAGATCTAGAACTGGAAGCTATGAGGTCAAAATAGCCAAAATGCAACTGCACTGCTATATTATATAAAGTCAAATGAACTGTCCTGCAGATCCCTGGCCGTCTCTTGACCAGAAACATTTAAAAGGAAACCTCAAGTATGCTGAGAGGTAATTATCAGAATATGTGGGTACCTTTATTCCTGAATATCAAGTATTAAGGCTCATCTCCGTGATCACTTCTTGCAATAACCACATAGGGCAACTCATTACAGACTGCTCATTATGTATGCTGAGCTCTTGAGTTAGGAGGGGGGGATTTCTACTCTATCCAGGGCTGAGCTGACTGTGTGAGGGGTTAACCTTTATAGTTCTAAGTCTTATCCTCATTCTGGGTACATTTCAGTTCTGCTCCAAGTCCACTTTGCTCCAATTCAGCGATGACAGACATATATTTGAACTCATTTGGTCGGAAGTTAAATGTCTCCACTAACCCATAGGTCTCTTTACGATCAGTGGCATAGAAGAGCTGAACTTGATTGGCGATGCACTGTGCCTCAGTAACATTCTGCAAGATAAAAAGAGTGGTGAGGTTCCTCCTGGCACAGGACCACGAAGTTCTGTGTCTGAGTTCTGTGGTGGGTGGGGGCCTCACCCAGGAATCACTGCTTCTGAAAGTCTCCCTGACTCCCTGGCCTCTTGAGTCTTGCCTCTTCTCCATGTTTATCACTATCACAGTATTTATCACACTGTCTTGTATGTGTCCTTTTTTCCTTTTTGTCTTTTTTTCCTAATACACATTCCTCAAAGACATAAATTATGCCTTGTTTTATGCCCCTATATGAATACATCTGGTGAATGTCTGAATAAATTAATGCACATGTTCATAATTTCCCTCTTCATTTAGTTCCTAAGTAACTGTTAAATATATCTCCTGAGGAAAAAAAGATCAAGAGTTACCCAGCTCTAAGAACTAGTTAGTGGGTACCAAGTTATGGACTAACCAAACATACACCTGAATAAAGCCTTTACTGACATCAGCAGTCAGAAAAATACTGCCAGAGGCAGCTGTGATGGTTTTAAGATCTGTTCAAAAATTCTATGATATTCCTTCTTTTGGTGAAGCCTAAATTCCCTTTCCTTGAATAAGGCTGTACTTAGTGACTTGCTTCTAACAAACAGACCATGATGAAATGATAGGGAAGGACTCCTGCTATTAACACATTAAGAGACTGTAGCTTCTGTCTTGAATCACTTGCTCTGGTGAAAGAGAGTTGCTATATTATGACATTCAAGCAGCCCTGTGGAGAAGCCAATGTGGTGAGGAACAAGGGCTCTGCCAATGGCCATGTGTATGGGGCCAAAAGTAGATTTTCAACTCCAATCAACTTTCAGATGACTACAGCCCTAGCCAACATCTTGTCGGCAGCCTCGTGAGACTCTGAGCCAGAACCACCTAGTTAAGCTGCTTCTGAGTTCCTATCCCACAGAAACTGTGAGGTGACAAATGTTTACTGTATTAAGCCACTAAGTTCTGGAGTAGTTTGATATGCAGCCATTTATAACTAATCCACCAGCGAAGCTCTAGAAAGAGAAAGGTGCGTGTCTCTAAAGTGCAGGACACAGAAATGGTGAGCAGACAATACCTGAAGAGGGGTGGGGTAAGCTTGGGGAGTCACAGGCTATACCCTCAAAACTTCATGAAAGAATTACCTCAACTCTGAGTTTTGTTTTCTACACATTCTGCAGTTCTAGCTGGCCAGAGGCATTTATCCATCACCACTTGAGTCCATCTGGCCAAAATCAAACCCCAAAAGATACGGGAAAATTCTCACAAAAATTGATTGCTCGAAGAGTGCTCCAGCTACAGGATGATGAAGATGAGTTTGTAAACACTCTAGGCTGTGCTTTACCTTTATCCCCTCCATAGGACTTTTAGATCACTTCTCAAAAGCAGACAATCATCTCTAAGACTGAGTGTTCAATTAAAAGCAACCCCCTCCCATCGCAAACATGGCTATTTCAAATTAACAGAAATTTAGAGTTGGAAGGAGTCTTAGAAATCACCCAGTCCTCATTTAATAGTGCAGGAAACCAAGGCAGATGAGGTAAAGGGATGGGTCCAAGCTCATGTGGTTAGCCAGAGGCAGACCTCAAGAATTCCAGGCTGGTACTCCCTCCACTTCATTCTGCTACTGTTTCTAATAATTAAGACTTACTGAAGTTGGTGACTCTCCTTCATCAATTTTGCCTTTCTTAAACTCAAACATGCCTCAGGAACAAAATCTTCCTAAAGCAAGAATACTTCTACAATTGGAGGCAGATACCACCAGTCTCTGAGGCTGAAGCTGATAAATGAGACTGAAATGAGCAAGGACAAACAGATTGTACAGCAATCATAAAACTGCTCCTGGTACCTGGGGAGAACACAACAGGCATCATTAGCTATGGGCATATAGTTGTTGCTCTATCTTAGTGATATTCAACTGGGAATGGGAAAAGGAGGAAGGAAATCACTATGTATGATGGTTTCACATGTAAATAGCGTGGAAAAGACAAAAAACTGCCCTATATTTTGGAAGTTACTTATTTGTCCACAATCTCTTACTTGAAACTTCCTAGGGCCAGATGTGTGATGGATTTAGAATTATTGGATTTTAGAAAGGTAGTAGGTTCAGATAATATATGTGTATATTATATAACTCTCCATAATCAAACATACCAATAAAACACAATATTCCATACCAAGTGAATTTAATAAAGACTATAAATGGTCTCATGTCAGTTTAAGTAAACATTTAGTTCCCAAATGAGTTTAAATCAGGTAAGATTTTGTGACTAAATGGGTATTAAAATACTATTTTCATGGGCTGGGGATTTAGCAACCACCTGCCTTGCAAGTGCGAGGTCCTGAGTTTGATCCCTGGTACCAACCCCCGCCCCCTCCAAAACCGAAAAACAAACTCTATTTTCGCAACTTGTGGATTTCAGAATTGTGAATAAGTGATTAAGGATCTGTATTAAAATCAGTTTGGAAGAGCATAAAGTCAAAATTATGCCAACTTTATAAGTAAAAAATAAGTACATGTAAATTTCCTGGAATTTTACCTCTTACAAGATTTGACAGAAGTGCAGCTCTTTTAGGGCTACTAGGTAATCCAAACAGGCAAAGGTGCTTCTTACCAGAAATGTGGCATCCATTTCTGCCGTCATCAGCACTATGCCCTTTTCTTCCTTAAGTTCAGGGTAGTGATATAAAATCAACTGGCTGGCTGCGGCATCTCCTCGGGTCTGCAGGAGGAACATTTACTAAGGCTCAATAAGGTACCACAACGACAAACGACAATTTCAAAGCAATAGAGAGTCTGGAGGAAATTCTGGCTCTTGATAGCCCCTTGGGTGGCCAGTGAGCTTGAGGAAAGGTATGTGGAGGCAAGGTTGAGCCTGCAAAGGCAGGGTGAAACTGACAGTTTGCATGGTGTTATTTGTGTCTTCAATTGGAAAAGGTTTGGCTTTTTTCCCAGAAAATGTTTATAGAAGGCAGTGAATCCTTCATAGTAGCCATACATTTAAAAATAAAATGGCACCAGCAGCTACCAAATCAAGTTCTAAAGAAAGCAATATGCCTGTGTAATTGCCACTTTTATGGACTAGTGCATTTCATAGCAGAAATCTACTCCCCTTGGCTGGCTCTGAAGACTGAGCTCTTTTAAGCTGTAGCAAGAGCTGGAGAGCTTGTACATGGGCTAGATTTGTAGTCTGTGATTTTAAAATATAATTTGTTTGGGGTGGGAAAAGAGAGAAGAATGGGGACATCATAATTTCATGAAGAATGATGAGAGTAGTGGTAACTAGACCTCAAGTCTAGACTAGGAAACAAGGCTAAATTCAAGTCTAAAGCCCCATGCCCTATCTAGTGTAGAAGGAAACCACATTCAAAATAAGATCCCTAGGTTTCATCTCTAAAATTTCAGCAAAGCTTTTAATTATCATATCTAACTCTTGCTAAGGTATTCTTCAGTCTCTTAGTTCTACCGAACAAACTTTCAGTATTTTATTGATCATTTCAGTCATTATTCTAATGTTATATACTAATCACTTTGATCATAATTATGTTTCTGGATATTTCTCTTGTATTTGGGGATAAGTTTCATGAAGGCAAGAATCTTGTCTCAGATCTCCAGGTCCTAGCATAGTTCCCAACACAATGATACAATGGTTACGTTCATATACTCTGGAGTCAGATGACTTGGATTCAAACCCAGCTCTATCACTTAGCAATGTGAACTAATTTCGCTAAGCTCATTTTCTTTGCTGCAAATAGAAATAATAACAATAATTATTTAATGGTGTATTTTAAGAATTAAATGACAATGTATATACAGCATCTGGTAATAGTAAGTACATCTAGTGTTAGTTATTATAGTATGTGCTCAATAAATTCCTGTTGGATGAATTATTTAAAAATTGTGAAAAGCTGTTCCCTCATTCTATTTTGTACTTTATCCCAACTTTAAAGCCAATCTGAATATCCTTGTTTTTGCCAGATGTAGCCTTTAAATACAGAATGTCATTCTTTGTTATTTAAAATACTGTCTTTTATTTTAAAAGCTTCAAATGCTTAGAACTTAACTTTTAAATCTAATATTTAAGTATAAAACAAAGAAAAAAGGAATAAAATAAAATAATATTAAATGGAAACTTCACCTAGCACTTGGAATGTGCTGACTTGGTTAATAAACCACATGTAAGACATGCAGCCTTTCTCAATGGGCTTATAGCTTGGGTTAAAAAGATAACATTCTAACTTCGTCATGTTTGTCAAGTGAAGAACATGCAGTAAATGCTATAAGGTCTGAGGAAGAGACAAAAGAGAGCCAGAGTTGGTCAGAGAAAGTATTCTAGGGTCTTTTCCCATTTCTTGTTATTAAGTGGGCCTAGGAAAACTGCTACAACATGTAAAGTATGAAAATTCATCAGTGCCACAACAAGTATTGCTAAGAATTAGTAGATATTCTGTGCTCTCAAGTCTCAGCAAGTGCTCCTGGTCCCACCAAATGATAGGTCTCTTTCCTCTATCCTTGTGCTTGTTAGAGCACAAGCCACTTACCTGAATATTTATAAGTGCAGTGAAGTGAAGTTCAGTACCTGTCCATTGTCCAACAAAGAACTCATAACCTTCCCTTCTTGGCAGTGCACACAGAAACTGTGGGAAAGAGATACACAAAGGGACAGAAAAATAAAGTCATTTGCTCTAGGTGCAACCACTTATATTTCTCATTCCATTTCTTCAACACTTGGGTTTAAAAATAATTCTTTAATTATCAAATTAATATATAATATAATAAAGACTCATGCACCTACCTAAGAAAGAAGGCATTAGAGATATAATTTGAAGATCTCTCTGCAACCCATTTTAATCCCATTAGAGATTAATACCTATCCTGATTTGGTGTCTCTCATTATTCCTTTCCATGTTTTATACTTTTACTGAATATATATATTTGGATTTTCATTATGACTAATGATATTAGGGATCTTTCTGGTGCTTATGTGTCATTTCACTTCTTTGGAGAACTCTCTTTTGTTCTTCTTTTGAGATAGTCTTGTTATGTTGCCCAGGCTGGCCTCAAACTCAAAGTCCTGTTTCAGCTTCCTGAGTAACTTGGATTATAGGTATGAACCACTTTTTTTTGGCTTTGGTGAACTGTTTAATCAAAATTCTCATCCATTTTAAAACTGCATTGTCTGTTCTTTTTATTACTGAGTTATAAGAGTTTTATTTATTTATTTTTTTCACAGGATAAGATTATCTTTTATTAGAGTTCTTATATTACATATTCCAAGAGTTTTAAATGTAATGGGTTACTTCCACATTTTGGCTATTGGGACTAATGTTGCAAGGAACATGAGTGTACAAATAAAATGTTTTACTTTTTTTTTTTGCAGAACCAGGGATCGAACTCAGGACCTTATGCTTGCAGGCAGGCGTGGCACCACTGAGCTACATCCCTGGCCCTTTACTTTTTTTTGAGACAGGGTCTTGTTATGTAGTTCAGGCTGGCCTTAAACTTATTGTGTAGCCCAGGCTGGCCTCAAACTTATGACAATCATCCTGCCTCAGCCTCCCAAGTGCTGGGATTACAGGCATGCGCCACCATGTCCGGCCTCATTTTACTTCTGTTGAAATCTAAATTAATATTTTTTTAATAGTTTATGCTTCTTGTGACATATTTAAGAAATCACTGTCAAACTGAACTTCACTAAGATTACTTTTTTTATTTCCTTCTACTAGTTTCATTTATGTCTTTGATCTATTTTGAGTTGAATTTTGTATACAGTGTGAGGTAAGGGTAGAGGTTAATTTGTGTGCACGTGATTTTGCAATTTTTTTAGCATAATTTATTGAACAGATTATCTTTTCCTTAATTATACTGGCACCTTTGTTGAAAACAACTAACCTCAGATAAGTGGTCTGTTCCTAGACTATTCTCTCCCACTGATCTATATGCCTCTATTTATACTGATAACACAATGATTTCATTCATGCAAATCAAAAGCCTATTGGGATTTTGATTTGAATTGTACTTAATCTAGAGATCAATTTGGGGAGAACTGACATCTTAACAATATTGAGCCATCTAATCCATGAACACAGTATATCTCTCCATTTACTTAGGTATTCTTTATTTTCTGTTGGCAGCATTTGGAAAAATTTTTTTTTGGTACCAGGGATTGAACTCAGGACTTTTCGCTTGTGAGGCAGGCGCCAGAACCACTGAGCTAAATTCCTGGCCCTGGAAAAATTTTTTGAAAAACCTAGAAATCATGATCAACACCAACTCAGCTGTCAAGTCAGTTATTCATTCCCTTTTCTTGGGGCCTTCTGTCAGCTCTTTACTCAAGCAACAACAGCCTCATAATTGTTTTTAGGCACCTTACAGCAAGATAGCATGGCCAAAACAGCAAAGGAAACTGCCAAGAGAGCAGGAACTTGAAGGAGGTTGTAAAAAATTAAGGGCTCAGATGCCTTCCAATAGGTACCTATTTTGATGGGTTAAGGCCTACATTCAGTAAGGCTTGAGATGTGGTAGAGACCTAAAAAGGCAGAGGTTATGAGGTCAAACCCATATCATTTGTTGGGCTGAAATATCACTTATTATTATAATTAACATGTAAGCCTCTTTGGTAAATGAACATGTGAGAAAGCGTGGAATAGGAGGAGGTGAGTTGGAAAACATCCTTGTTTTTTTTGATACCAGGGATCGAACTCTGGTCCTTTTGCTTGCGAGGCAAGCAACGGAACAACTGAGCTAAATCCCTGGCCCCAAAACACCCTTGTTTGGCAGCACTGATCAACAGTTTTTACACAGTCACCAGGAACTTACTGTTGGACAGGACTGAGCCCGACTCCAGATCAAATCAAACTTCTCTTTCTGTGAGTTGAGAAAGCATAAAATTAATTCATAAACAGGGAAATATAAGAGATCATAATCACAATTCAGCTTAGAAAGACTAAATTCTAGAGTTATACTACAACTAACCCGTCTTTTTCTATTTATAAATTGCTCTTATGACAGAGAGACAGGAAAAGCCAGATGTATGTTTTGCTGTTCGCTGTCAGAATTATGTGTGAAGATTAGGTGCTCAAATGCTACAAACACTCCAGGGAACTCACTAACTCAATCCAAGGTGAGACGAGAAGGCCTGTTCCAACAATGAGTTGGTATAAGAGGGCTAAAATATGATGGAAAATGCAGACTGCTCTAGCTGTTGAAGTCACGAAAGGTAAGGGTCTATATGATAAGAGGTTAAAAAAAAAAAAAGACAGTGATGTCCATGTAACAACCAAAAGGCCTGGCTTGGATAATTGAGGAACTAGCCAAAAACTCAGTATTTCAAATGTTTTCCTATATCAGCAGAAAAACAGTAAACCAGAAAGTAGCATCCCTTCCTAGGCAAAGACTTAGCAGGCAAGAAGCGACCAGTGACCATCTCCAAGAGCAATTCAAGAAGGGAAAAACAAAGACAATGCCACTTGCTAGGAAGAAAGACTAGGAGAAGGTTCTAAGTCAGCTTGGGTATATGTTATTTACAGACAAGAAGGGAAGAAAACTATATTAGAGGTCCTGTCTTAAATTCCAACAGCTTGGTTGAAAATACCAAAAAGAAATAAAAGACATTTGGAAATTACTGAGTAACACGAACTTATACAATGCTCCCTTGTCAGAGACTTGACTCAAAGACATTTCTAAACCAGAAAGAGGGAAAACAAAAGCCATAAATATACCATATGGAACTTCCAATCTTTGGTGCTTAGGGCATAATAAAAACCCTCAGAGCTGTAAAATCCAAGTTCTCAAGAGGCCATAAACACAGGAAAAGTAAAGGCAACTGCCTGCTGAGGTTACAGTACTGACCTTCATGCTGTAACACTTCATTTCCCCTCCAAACTACTTACAGGAATGACTGCGTAGACTGTATCTTTTGCTGCAAAATACTGCTGCCAAATCTGTACAAAAAAACAGAGGGTGCCTGTGACATGTGGGTAATCTTTTCAACCTGTGGTAAGAAATGGTGACAGCTTTCATTGCTAAGAGTAATATGCTATTTGATAATGGGTAGGAAATATCCACTGTAATGCTTTTGTAACTAGTATATGATTATAAAAAAGATTTAATATCATACACTCTTCTAGATGATTAAAAACTGTAACTCTTAATAACAAATTCTGTCAGAGAAACTGATTCTATGACCTTTGAAATCATTCCTCTTAAAATGTGCCTGTATATAATAGACAACCTCTTTTTCCCCAATCTTTTTTCTTCCCTCCTCAGATTCACACCACCCCAGCCAACTGTGGGTCTTCTCAGAGAACCAGGACATCAGTCATTCAGAGAGGCCAGGATGCAAATCCCAGCCACAATCATTTATGAATTATGCCACCTTGGGCTTATCACTGAAACTCCCTAAGTAATATCAATAAAATAACAGTAATGTCAACCTCACAGGATTATAGTCTTTACCAGTTGAATTAGTATACTGTAACTCTGTGCTTGGCATGGAGTAAACACTAAAAATAATGTTAGTTTTATTAGCTAGTGTTGCCTGCTATAGACAGCTTGAGATCTCACTTCCAGAAAGTTTTCCATGAGAAAGAGATAGCACAGTCAAGACTCAGCAAACTCTCAGTCAGAAGTCCTATTTCTATCTGGCATCAAAGAATAGGAAGGGCACAGTAGACCTTCATGATGTAAATACCAAAAGGAAGGGAATAAAATTTATATATATATATTTTTGTGCAAAATCAGAAAATAGGGAAAAATTTTCATAGTTCTACCATTCTAAAAGACTCGTTATTGTGATATATCTTTTTTCTAGTATTTCTTAGGAATGTTTTTCTTCTTTCCTCCTTAAATTCTTTTATTGGTACATTTTAGGTATACAATACATTTACATTTATCATTGGGAACTTGTACCTTTACATGATGTATCTTGGTTCTTATTTTTCCCCCATTCCCCTGCCCTCCCTTCACCCCCCTTTTCCCTATTTACAAAGACTTTGTTTCCACTTTTTCCTTTTCTCATATTTTTTCCTTTCCCTTCTTTCCTTTCCTCTACCCCTCCCACTTCCCCTACCCCTTTGGATCTTTTCTTCCTGTTTCACATTATCAATTAAGGAATATTTTTCTTTTATAGCACATATACATAGATATAGAGCATATGCAATATTGTGTCTTGTTTTTTGTCCCTTAGCATATCATACACGTGCTCTGTGTTCATATTTGTACTATTATTCTATTGTCCTCCATTCGTTTTCATGTTATTGGTTCTGACTGGAAAACCTTTTCCCCATCTCTAACCCTACAAAGATTTCCTGTCCTCCAAAGCTAAGCCTATATACTTCTTCCATGTAGTCTCCCTTGACCATTTCAGTTAGAAATTTTCCTATAAATTGCGTTTGCACTTTATACCTTTCAAAAGATGCCTAGGATATGCTACCTCATAATAAGGTCATTTACATGTGGATCCCTCTCTGTCATTAGTTTGCAAATCTCTGTAGGCAGAATATCTGCCTGTGTTGTCATCAGTGTCCTACAAACCAAAAAGTACCGAAATGCTGACTGGATGGTAGATCATTGTGATTTAATAAGAAATATATTTCTCTCTACCATGGTTGTTGACAGAGAGCTACTAAAAGAGGCACTTAACCCAGGTTAGGGAAGTATACCAGAGGAAGGGACACTTGGCTATATTCTGAAGAATGATTAGAAGTGAGTGGGGGGTAAATAGGGAGGCAGGAAGATGAGAAAACATACATGCTAAGCAGAGAGTGACATCATTAGCAAAGGCACAGAAGTTGGGAAAGGCACCACAACCAAGATAACATCTGAGTGAGCTAGCCATTCTCTTAGTATTGTCAACATTCCCATTACAATGTGAGGCTCCAACTGATACACTAATCAACGGATGATCTATCTAGTCAATACAAAGTACAAAAGGTCTATTACTTCCTAGAGCCTAGGCAAACTACTCTATTAATGCACCTAATGTTGCTTTGCCTTTTTAAAAAAGTATGTCAAAAGACTGTCTTCTCAATTGAAGGATTACAGTATTTTAATTTATGATATTAGCAGATAGTTTACGAATCACTGAAATTTATAAGACTGGGAGATATTTTCTAATTTAGATGACCTCTGTTACTTAAAAATTATTCCAATGAACACAAATTTGTCTAAAATTATAGGTCTAAATGTTATCTCCTTGTTCAGGCCTCCTGGGCCTGGCTTTTCTCTCCCAAATGATATGCTGATGTCCACATTCCATTGGCACCTTTCCCATAGGGACAGCCTGAGTGTCCCCAGGACTGTGTAAGGCTCTATTAACAGAAGTTAGAACCTTGTGCTGATCTTAGTTGTTTTTGTGTTTGTCCCTCCACTAGGCAAGAGTACTTTAAGAGGACTTGGTCAGGATATGATAGGTAAAATGAGAGAAATGGGAGTAGGGAAACCTATCTAGAAAGGTAGTACAGCAATCAGCTACAAAGTACTGATGATTTTAAGTAGGGCCGGGGGGATGTAGCTCAGTGGTTCCAGCGCCTGCCTTGCAAGCGGAAGGTCCCGAGTTCAATCCCTGGTACCAAAAAAAAAAGGGATGAAGATTTTAAGTAAAATGTGGCAAGTGGAATGAAAAACAAAGGGGAAATACAAGTTGATTAGATATATAAGAGCAAGACCACGAAAGACAAGTTTTCTTACGCCACTGTTGTTCATGTAATTCATCACTTTTGTCCTTTATTGGTATTTTTCATTTCAGCTAGAAAGAGGTGTCAAAAAAGGTATGCTTTTTTCTACTCTCAGATTTGGTTCACAGAACACATTTTCATGGAGTATGCCAACACATTTTCATTCATTACCTGTTTTATTTCTTCTGCAGTTTTGTCTTTCACCATCTCAATGTTAAAGATTGAACCGAGAGTCTTAAAAGAGGAAATAAAAAGCAATTAACATCTACAATTTAAAAATAACAACAAAAACCCTGTAGCTTAATGCTGTCTCTGAGCCTTGTGGGAAACAATATCCAAGGACAGTGAAGCAGATCTTCAGTTAAGTACAATGCAAACATAAGAAAACCACATGCTCAGAGACAATGAGTCCACAAGCCCACACAGGTTTTCATAGCTTTACTCCTAGGGAGTCTGTGTTAGGTTACTGCGTACTTCCCAGTTGCTTCAACCTCACCAGCAAGTGTTGCAGCTCTTTGTAGCTGGTAAAAGGAGAAAGGTTGGTTGTTATTTTTAATTTAACTGTTATTCTACCAGGGGGAGCTCCTTATTTACAATTAAGTGACAAACTAAATATACTTTTATTTGATTTTTTAAACTACTCCCTAGATAAAGGAGAAATTTCACTACGTTTCCTTCAAATTTCTTCCAGCACTACCAGGACCCCTATGTAACCTAGAGTCATGTTAAGAACACAAAAGTTCACATCTCATCTCTACAGCTGGAAAATGACCTTATATAAAACCACTGATTCACAGTAAATACATTCAAGTTTGTAGCCCCTTGTTTTAGATGTCCCATATGACTTCAGACTCGGATCTCAATATTTAGAGACTTACCTTGTCTTTAGTGAATCCTTTGCTCATAGGCTGCTTCTCCAAGACATCTGTCTGAAATATATATTGAGAGAGGGTATTAATCTATATTTATAAGAAAAAGAAAACCAAGCTAGCTGAAGTACCCAATCTTATTAAGTAATTTTACACCTGATGACTCACTTTTCTCCACTCTTTAGACTAACTGTACACACTATATGAAGTTATTGTTTATGCAACAACTTTCCTCTAAGATTCTGAAATGCAAAGATGAGAAAAATTTTTTTGTTAGTACTATCATCTGTTAGTACTGGGAAGCTCATCCTATTCCTGCCATTATGAATATGAGGTATTTCTTTCCAGAAGTAGGTCTCCTTAGCTATCCTGTGATCTGCCCACTGACCTATTCAATACTGAGCCAAAGAAGAGGTGAGAAATGGAAAGATGTGTTTTCTAAGACTGCTTCGTATCTCCAACAACACTTCTAATGGCAGATGTCCTAAGTGGACCTGAGTCTTAATAGTCCCTCCATCAAATTAAACACCCTTTCAAAAAAGGCCAAGAACAAATGAAAGTAATTATTTTCTCTCTTGCTTACTATCTCTGATAAAAGCCTGGAAATCCTACTTTGATGGTTTCTGACAGTAGGAATGGCCGATAAACGGCTGATAGTTCTTAGCCTTCACTCTATCTCTAAATTCAAGATCAGGCTATTATAGACCTGGGAGTAGCTCATGTCTATAATCCTGCTACAAGGCAGGGGAAAAACCAAACATGCTTTTCAGAGGTAAACAAGTAGTCTACATGTGGGATAACTATCCATGCTAAACAACATGTTCTGTCACTCTGTGATTTCATGAATCCAAATCTTTCATAATGATGCCCATATAACCTGTATCCACAAATTAAGTAAAAGCCTGGCACAGAAAAACTTGTTGAATCTTTTTTTTATTACACCCCTATACACTGGCAGCATCCAAGAATAGCTATTCCTTCATAGTCAAGCCATATAAAAAGTAGAGAAACGATTTCATATTCATACCATTCATCCTTAGGTGTACCATGAAAGCAAAACAAAAGCAAACCTTCATTTGTACAGCTACTTTCACCTTTCAATCACCAAATATCCTCATGTATTCTTTTCCTACAGTGACTTTCAAATATTCTTTATTTCAATTTTCACTTATAGAAAAAAAATAAGCCCAAAGTATAGACTTATTTCAGTTTATCAAATCCAAGATATCACTGATTTTAAGATTCACCAATATTTTATGTATCAGAAAATAACGAATGTGCCACTTGAACAATAACATAATACTTTGTTATCACATCAATTTTGAGACAATTTTGAAGATGCTAAAATATGAAAAAACCTGGCCTTAAAACTAATGAAATGAGATAGTTAAAATAGTTTAAACTACACGCCAAAAGTCTCAAAGCACTTAATAAAGAATTTAAATGTCTGCTTTACTTTCTCTCCTATACTTTGGAAATCTGTGGGGATAATTTTTCTTGTTGTCATGATAACAGACTAGATGGTGATATCTATGTTTATCAGAGGGCATGAGTGCCAAATGTGCTGCAACTTTACAGATGAGTCTACATAATGACAACCTTTCAATGTCTAGCCAGGCATTCTTGTAGGTGAAACCATTTTGTAATTACCTGGCCTATAATCTAATTTAAAAAAAATACACAGCTTTAATAGACATTGACTTTCCCAGAAATATAACCACTACATAAGTTGATAGAAGACTGTACGATGGGGCATCTCAGGTCACTGGTAAGGACACATTTCATGCTTTTGGAGTTTTTATAATTACCAGTACAACATTTGTATACCAGTTAGCATTTGCTGCTTATGTGCTCATGGTTATTTTACAAATAAGTGAAACATCCAAGAATTTAGATACTACAATGTGTATTTTATTTTAAAATACTTTAATTATGGCCACAGCACTATACTGATTTTTTCATCAAAATTATGTGTTTAGGTAGGTTATATAATCTACCTAACTATATTGTTTTATTTCAGGTAGAAGAGGGAGAATTAAATACAATTTATTATAAAGAGAGAATGTTGAGTCCCATGTGGTAGGGAACTGATGACTCAAAGTAACAAGAAGGCTTTGAGAATTGAGAATATGTGTTAGCCATTGCCCCTCCTCTGTCTAGCTAGATAAGGGAGATAGTAAGTGAATATTTACCTAAGCATTGCCATAATTTAAATTACTTATTCTAAATCTTATTACCACAAAGCTGAATTTTAAAGTGTGCTTACAAAAAGGGGCAAAGACCTTCCCATATAAAATCGAAAGTTTATAATACAGAAACATTTCCAAGAGCTATCAACTGTAACTTTGCTACTATAAATGTTTATTATAGAAAATTACGTCTGTTAAAATATTTGTAGTAGGGAGTAGTTGGTAATTTATGTATAGGAGGTTGAATTTGCTCCCCAACTTTGTGATATTAGCCCACTATTAGTCTTGTTCTAACTGACTCAACTAGTTACAGGCTCTTACAATTTAGGATACCTAAGGCAAAAAAGTTATTTCCAAGTAAAACAAACATCTCTAATTTGACTTTCAAATATAATGTACAATTCCAATTTTCCTCTGTGACCACCTTATTTCTGGTTCTCTATAGTTCACACCTGGACTGCTGCATATTTTCCCTGGCTCCAGTCTCTCCTGCTCCAATTTGTTTTGTGCACTACTCTAGATTGGTATTTTTCAAATCTTAAATTGCAAGATCAATTTAACGGATTGCCATCACAGATTTTTAAAAGATGAAAAGGAACAAAAAATAAGAATGCACTGGATGTCATGAAAGTAACTACTGTTTCATAAAAATTGTTATAATCATATCATATGTACTAAATTGCAACACAAAATGTATTTCTTACTATAGGTCATGATGAAACAGTATGAAAAACACTGCATTAATCTTTTCACATGCTTTTCTCCAGCTTTGATTCCTATTTAAGGATAACAATGGCTAATATGTATTAAGTACTTATTATGTGCTAGGACTACACTAAAAACTCTTGAATGATTTTATTTACTCTCCAGTACAACTCTATGAGATAGGTACCGTTATTATTCATGTCTCAAAGCGAAGCAAACTGAGACTTGGAGAAGTTATTTAAATTGCTCGTAAGTGGAAGACCTAAGATTCAGTCCCTGGTATCCGTCTGCAGAATCCATCCTCTTAGCAGGTCAGTTATCTGCCTCTCCTCACTTTGGGTTATATCCAAATGAGTAGGCCATGGGCATTCTGGATAGTGGAGCTCTTGGTAGGCTCTGGGGATACAGAAATTGGTCAAAATACCTCAGTCTCTCCAGGATCACCCTTTATTTTCAAAGCTTTTCCTCTCTTTAAACTAATTCCTTTTCACAGAGTAGAAGTAGAGCATGGGGTGTGGGGGGCCAGTGGTTGGTTGTTAGCAAACTAAGTCTAGCTTGCCAACTGTTTTTGTAAAAAAGTTTATTATAACACAACCACATCTATTCATTTACTTATTGTCTATGCCTGCCTTTGTACTATAATAGCAGAGCTGGGTATTTATAACAGAGATCATATGGCTTACAAAGCCCAAGATATTTACTCTCTGGTTCTTTTACAAAACATTTGATGACCTCTGTTCTACATCAAAGCCCTACTCTCTCTTCTCTGCTTTAAATCCCCCAGACTCTTCCTAGCATAGGTCAGGTTCAATCTCCCCTGAGAAATTTTTCCTGACTCCTGCATCCCGATACCATATGTGCTACCATATGATTACTAGATTCCAAGCCTAGCAGGACTATACTTTTCTTCCCTTTTGGTCTCCATCATGATCACAGTACCTTGCCGAGAAAAAACAGGATACACATTTATGGATGGAGAATGAATACAATAGAGAGAGGCTATGCTCAGATCATTCAAGTTGATTCATCATCAAGCCCACATCAAAGACAGGGCTGGAAGAAGTGGGGAGGAGTGTTGGTAAGCTAATAACACAAAAAGGGGCAGGTCTTACCTTCTGCTCCATACATCTGATGAAATCACCTTGCTTAGAGTACCCCACTGGCTGCTTCTGAAACTCACTGCGTTTCTCCAGGCGCGACTCAAAAGCAGCTGGGTCAGACCTGATCAAAGGTAAATCGAAGGGTAAACTACCTGGGCCTTTTAAAGATTTGAAAATAATAGAGCATCACATTCTACCTCTACAGAGAAGGGACACAGGCATTCATAGAGGCTGAAGGGTTTGCTTTCAGTTAATAAGGACTGGGCACAGGCTTGAAAATCAAGAAAGTGTGTGTGTATGTGTGGGGGGAATCTGTTATTCAATTGTTGTTAATCCTCAAGGGGCCAGTGTAGAACTTTTTTTCTCCTGCAAGCTATACTCAAGTGCAACACAGGGCTTGGTCTGTCAGGTACTTTTAGCCTGGATAGTTAGAATCCTCAGCACGGAAAGGGTTCTTAACTCACAGGCCATCTTGCAGTTACCTTCACAGGCAGGAATCCTATCTCTACTGCTTTAACTTGAATACACTCAGTCCTTTGACATCTCTCTTTAAACTGCCCTCAGATTAAGCATTTATTTTATGACAGGCTTCAAGCTATCTGTTTTGCAGAAGATTTAGCACCTGAATGTCCCCCTGACCTATCCTCTGAAAAACTTTAGATGGAACATCAGAACTTGTTTTTTATGTTAAAATAGTTTTCAAACTTCAAACTTGGGGCTGCCATCCTTGTTAATGGCTGGCTTTCTAGCTTGGGGCTGTCATCCTTGTTAAAAATTTTTCAGACTAGCCATGGTGGCACATGCCTGTGATCCCAGCATTTGGGAGGCCGAGGCGAGATTATTGTAAGTTCAAGGTCAGCTTGGTATATAGCGAGACCCTGTTTCAAAAACAAACAAAAAGAATTCTTCAGGGTGTGTAGCTAACAATGGGATATTTGGCTTTGTACGCTTTGATAACATAATCCACAGGCTCTAGTTTCTTGGCTCTGAGACTCAAGGTTTCATTGGGGGTTTGGCAGGATCCAGGGACATCTTGGCTACCAGTCTGGTAGACCCTCTCAGTTAAGGCATTATAGGGAGCCCCTCTTCCATAAAATTCCTTTCTGGAGGTAACAGCAAATGCCGCTCTGTTCACTGTTATGTAAATGGGCTGATCTTCTTTCCCTCTAGAAGGACTAGGTCAGTCCTGCTAGTGGCCACAGACACATCTGAGCCTATCACGGTGACTCCACAGAGGTGACAGGCATCATGGGCAGCAGAACTCTTGATGGGCTCTGGGGATATAGAAACGAATAAGACAAATTCCCTACCTCAAGGAGTGTACTATCTACTGGGAAAGACAGCCATGTTAATAAGTACATGAAGGTGCTACAGATATTATGATGAAAATTTGTCCAAACATTCCCAAATGTCTGGTGGTTTCATGTTGAACTTTTGACTATGTTGCTGTTCCCCTTGCCCAGAACATCCTACCCAAACCCTCCTTTTTTTGTGTTTGCCCATAGTACTCAAAGGAAATTTTGGTAAGAGATAAAGCTAGAGTACTCAAAGGAAATTTTGTTAAGAGATAAAGCTAGCGAGCCTGGAAGCAACTGAGGTGTGAGAGCCTAGTGAGGAACGTTAAGGAATTTGGGTGTTATCCAGAAGTCAGTCGTGGCTTGGAAAGCTCACTCGTCAAGAGATAACAGTATGTGTAAATGTTGATGGGAACAATCTAGTAGAGAAGGAGAGCAAAATAGTTATTTGTTCATGAGTAAGAATGAACGAATGGGAGCTGATGGAGATGTTAGTGTGTAAAACGGATCTAAAAGAAAGGGCTGGAGTGGTAGGCTAAGTGAAGATTTAAAAAATGACAAATAACTTGAGAATATCTAAATCCTGTTGAAAGGAGAGTACTCATTCATTTATTTCATCATTGCTTCAAAAAGTGAGAAGAATCACCACCATAGCAGTGAGATGAATTGGGGTAGAGGGTCTGAGACTGAAAGTGAGGGATACTACAGGACGATGGGAGTAGTTCAGGTAAATTAAGGTAATGAAATCAGAGATAAGACACAATGGAGGGAATTTGGAGTACTAGATTTTTGGTTTCCTTGCATAAGAGGACTGCCTTCCTGCCCTGCCAAAATCTCTCCTAAGCTCCCTTTTCACCTTTGATCTCCTTCACTCTTTCTAAATGAATTCTTCAGACCCCAACTCCCACCAATACATCCATTTCAAACCCCTCTGGAAGCTGAGGGGTAGTGTTAGAAAGTCTGAATTGAGTCAGACAAATCCAGTTGTGTGACCTTTGGCAAGTCTCTTCCTCTCTCGTCCTCAGTTTCCTTACTTTAGTGAGAGGGTTTGACTCATGGTCCCACCGTGACAATCTCTGCGGCAGTCTCTCAACCCCCAATCTTTCTTGCAGACCGGTCTCTAAATTTATAAGGCCGGGAACTCGAGGTCTAGGCCACATCTCGGCTTACTCAATACGTGACCTTGAGCAAGTCAAGACCCTTCTCTGGAAGACTTAATTTCCCATTTCTATAGTGGGGACAGGTCTCTGGGCTGCCTGCCTCACGGGGCTGTCAAAAAGTCCACCTTAGCATTTTGAGAATTAAAGCACAAAGACAACCGTGGAGAGAGCCAGGGCTCTGCAGAGACTAAACAGCTGTGTGATCTTAGGCAAGTGGCTGACCCTCTCTAAAGCTTAACACACCATCAGTACACGGGGACGGTGCTAGTGCCCACCACGCAGGGCCGTCTGTCCTAAGGCCCGGAAGCTCCGGCTACGCGCCGCCAGTCCTTCCCTCTCCCTGCTCCCCGCCAGCCGGCCAGGCCGCACCTGCGCAGTTGCTGGATCTTGTCCCGGTAGCGGTGGTAGAAGGGGTTGGCCTCCAGGTCGGCCCCGACCCCGCCGCCGCCGCCATCTGCGCTCCCAGAAGGCTGGCCCGAGTCGCGGCGCACAGGGAACACGCGCAGCTGTGCGGGTGAAACAAATCCCAGGCCCAGGGCCCGACTGCGCACCGTGCATAGGCCTCGGTAGAGGCCGGCCACTTGCAGGACGGCCGGGCCCGCGCCACCTGCAGCGGCCACGACAGCCGCCATTGCCGCCCCTGCCTCCCCCACCTCCCCCTCCTCAGGTGTGTCAGCTACAGCCCCAGGCTCTCGTGCCTGCTCCATCTTCTTCCCGGTCCGCGGCGCCCGCGCTTCGCCGCCGAGGTTCCGCACGCCCGAAGTTCCGGGCGCTAGAGAGGGGTGAGGCGGAGCGAGGGGCAAGGGGACGGGAGCGGGAGGGATTCTCCGCTCCCGCCCCAGCGTGAGCTTCAGCAGCCGCGCGTGTAATACTGGACGCTTCTACCCGGGAGCCTGCCGAGATCACGTCCTCCCCCTCGAGACCAGCAGCCTCTGCGCGCCAAGTGTCCTCTGGAAAGCCAGGTCGGTCCTTCGGGTCCTCACGGAGCCTGCTACCTTTTAAATTCATTTGGCACCAGCAGTAGCAGTCCATCCTTTCGCATTAAAGGCTGGTTCACCAATTGCCGTCACTATTGCAGCATCTGTTTATTGAGGTTGCCGTGCAGAACACTTCATCGGCTTCATATCTCATAAAGCGGGTATCACATCACTTTACAGATGAGGAAACAGGTTGAGAGTCAGTGATTTGTCCAAGTTCTACCCGAGCTGAGCTCATTTCAAGATGCCAGTTGCTTCCAGTGCATTGTTTCCCTCGATTTCTTGACATCTAACTGGAGATCGATTCAAACCGAACTTCTCTTCTCCCCTAAAGAATGGGGGAATGGTTCTTGACCCGTCTTTTTTTAGGCTTCTTTGGATCCTTGGAATGGTCTCTTCCTCTTAACCCAAATATCACGTTGTTCTTCACTTGCTGAACCAGGTGTGTGAACTTACGAGATCAGGGACAATAACATCACCATTTAAAAAAAAAATATGAGTATGCCATCATCAATTCTTCCCTCTATCTTATTTCATTTATTTTTTTGTACTAGGGAATCAAACTCAGGACCTCATGCTTGCCAGGCAGGCACGGTGCCACTGAGCGACATCTCTGGCAACATCACCATCTCTGTGGCTCACCAGCTGCCAGCACGAGTGGACCCTCTGTAAGGGGAGTCATTAGTTTGCCTTGCATAGAAGTCCTTGTTCGGGACTTATCTGACCCTCCTGAGCCAGGGAGAGAGCCTCCAACTCTGTTTAGTCCAACCTACACTCATGGAAGTGAAACTTGCCCTGTTTTAGGAGCAATGTAGGGGAAGATCACAAATTCCAAGTATGCTTCCCTGTGTTTGGCTCAGGATTTTTGCGCTTGCTGTTTCCTCTGCTCAGATTTGCACACGAATACCTCATTTTCATCTAGGGCTCAGTTTACACATCAGCACCTTAAAAGAACTTTTCTTGATGGACTACATCCTTCTATAGTCTATTTTTTACCCTTATTATGTCCTATTATTTTATCCTATTATCTTTATGGCAGTTATCACTATAAAAATTCTTAGATCCCTTTTTACATTAACTCATGGAGATTACATTCTAGTGGAGTGAGAGAGATGCAGGAAAACAAAGCAATGTAAGAAAGCTGTAAGTAAGGGGATACTCAAATAGAGACCTGAAGGAAATGAAGGAATAATCTGTATGGATATTTTGGGAAAAAGCCTTCCAGTTAAGGTGAACAGCAAATGCAAAGGCCCCAGTGCAGGAACATTTGCTTACCTTGCTTAGGGTACAGAAAAGTGGTTATTGTATCTGGATGAATGAGGGGAAGTAAGACTAAGGAGGTGTGAGGGAGTTGGCTAGATTGCTTAGGACTGTGATTTTTAATCTGTGTGAGACTGGAAGTCATTGTAGGTTTTGACCAGATGAGTAACATGTACTCCTCTTAAAAGTATCATCTTCTTCTCTGCTAGTGGAATTTAGGGTATGTGGAGCAAAGATGGAAACTTCCAAAAGTGTCTAATTTGTCCCTGTTCACCTAGGACTTTTCTTGCTTTAAAAACTATTTTTTCCTTCAAAAATTAAATCTAAAAAGATGACACCAGTGAAATAATACAGAATTCATACTATCAACCTCTATCTTATCCTCTTACCACTACCTGGCTAAGTTTACATACTTTACATAATAAACACTTTGAATGTTGAAACCAAGAAAGTCCTCTCTTATTGAGCCAGGACTTTCTTGGTCTTAGCATTGAAGACTCTATGTCCTGAGTGCAGAGGACTGTAATATTGTGTCCAAAGCAGGCTGTAAAGAGTTAACCCCACAATTGGCTTGTTTTGAGAAGTGAGTCTGGCCAAAGCCTACGTGCCAAGGTCAGAGTAACGCGCACCCAAATTCTGTTCCCACAACTAAAACCTTCTGACTAAAAGGACAGTGTTTAATTACAACCATGTATTTTGTCTATTTTGTTCCTAATTCGAGAATGCTTTGTTTTGTCCGTTATGAGCCTTGTTTACATTAATTTCTATAGAAACTGCACTTAGCTTGCCTTAACCCCAATTGATTGCCAATAAAAGTCAGTGCCTTTGTCATTTGCACTGGCATTGGTCATCCTGGCACCCCTCTTTCTCTCAGTTCTGTCTCTTAGTGTATTTTTTTTTCCTCAGGCCTGTATTGTATACTGGGTACTGGAACCTAAGTGCAGGGGTCTTTGGTACTGAGAACCCTCTCAAGTTGTGGCCAGAGGGACTAAAGTTATAGTGATGGAAAAGTGGTCAGATTTTGGATATATTTTAAAAGTTTCAAAAATTTTTTTTTTTTTTTTTGTGCCAGGGATCAAACTCGGGACCTGGCGCTTGCAAGGCAGGCGCCAAAAAGTTTCAAAATTTTGCTGAATGAGTATATGATAGAATGAAAGGAGTCAAGGATGACATGCAGGTTTTTGACCTGAACAACTGGAAGGACAGAGTTGCTATTTAGAGAACAGGAAGGGTGCAGGTAGACTAGATTTTGGAGAAGGGATGATAGGAGTTTGTTTTGGACACATTAGTTTGTGATAATAGACTGGCAAGCAGGTATGTCAACGAGACTGTTGGGTAAATGAGACTCTTGAGGTGTGTTCCAGCTGGAGATATAACATGATATTTAAAGTCATAAGTGTGGATGAGATCACTGAGGAGTTAATGTAGATAGAATGCTAAGGACAGCCCTGGGGCATGCCAACATTTAGAGATCAGGCAAAAGAAGAGAAACCAGTAAAGAAGACTGAAAAGCAGGGGCCAGTGATGTAGGAGAGGCAAGGGAAATGGACCCTGGGGAAAACTCTGTGCTAAATACTGTCCCAAGTTTCACACTCAGGAACTACAAAGACAGGAGTAATTAAATGGTGCCAAGAAGTCAAACTAAAACCTGTGGAGAGACAATTCTGTGGTGGACCAGTCTCTGGCAGAAGTAATGGACATATACCATGCCCACAAAATGCCACTGGATGGAATACCATTCTTCCATTAACTCAGGACCATTTCACAAGCACCAGCCCTGGAATGGAATGCTCAATGCTCAGAACCTGGTAACTTCTCCTTTAGGGAACAATGGGCCCTGAGTGTTCTGAAGACTCCCATTGGTAGAGAGATGAGTGGGTGAGTTCCCAATTCCAACAGCCACAGGCCAGGAACCAAGGCTAAACCGTATGAATTCCCAACAGCATGTGAGCATCTCTGACAGTAAGTGCCCCTCTAATTCTGTCCTTTGGCTTGTACCCTTGGGCACGGGGACAAACACTCAGGGAAGATCCTTTGTATTGATGGGGTGGTGGCTGCCCACTTGGAGTGCTAAACAGCTAAGAGGAAGTCTCATCTAGGAGGCCAAGGATTCCTTGAAGGCAGAGACTATTCTCTGCCCAACCACAGGAGAAATACTGGTGTTCCTATCAACTGGTAAACTCAACTTCCTTGCCCTTACTGAAGCATCTCAGTGCCATGGATTGGATGGGCCCTGGGCTGGGAGCCCAGGTCTGACTGAACCAAGACAGGTCATGCTCCCTCAAAATCTGGGGTTCCTTATCTGTAAAGGGCTACAGTAGCCTCTTAAGCTCCCTGGACATCCAGCTTTGATGAAAAGGATGATGTAGCAAGTTTATGAGGAAGGAGGGATGGAATGGAGAATGTAGTTTAGTGGAAGGAGTGATTCACAAGTGGGTCAAGGAGATGACTGAGAAATAGCCGACTCCAAGCTAGATCTGTCAGCCAGCCTGCCTTTTTTTTTTCTTACTGCTGTAGTGTGGGTGTCACTGTATTTTGGATTCCTGGGGCTGTGTTCTGTGGTCATGGGCAGCTGCATTATCTTTCTGCACTGGAAGAAGAATGTGTGGCGGGAAGCGCGTGCCCAGCAGTGGGTTGAGTTGATGAGAGCCACCAGGTTCACCTACAGCCCACTGTTGTACTGGATCAACAAGCGTCGGAACCATGGGATGAATGCAGCCATCAATACGGGCCCACTCCCTGCTGTTGCCAAGCCTGAGACTGTCCAGAACCTAGAGCCTTCATGCAAGTTGGATATCCCTGAAGGCAGGAACTAACCTGTCCAACCAGCAGCTCCAAGATGGAGGCCCCTGATCCTCCACAAACCACTCTGGTAGCACCACAGCAGCCCATATCTTCCCTGATGCTGCAGCCCCAGCCCAGCTCCCCACTCCCAATCCTCATCTTTCAAGAGGCACCTTATGCACTAACACTCTGCAGCCTGCCTCCCATCCTGAGCCACTGTGTCTCCTACCCTCTGGCCAAGCATTCTGAGAGGAATGTCCACTTCCATTCCCTCCCCACACTGGCCCACGGGGCAAAGACCTTCAATGACAGACCTTTTACTACAGAAGTCTAGCCTCCTCTTAACTGAGGGTGGGAGCTTTAGCTACCAGGGGCAGAATAGAAAATGGAGCTAACTTCAGGGAGGTGGTGTTGATACAGAGGCCAGAGCCCATCTGGATGTCACATTTTGAAGATTAAATAAAAAGTTTAACCAAGAGATTATGTAAAGGTGGAAATTTCCAATGATGGATGTCATTATATTTTATACCTAAAATGTACCAATAAAATTTTTTTTTTTTTTTGTACCGGGGATTGAACTCAGGTCCTTGTTCTTGTGCAGCAGGAGGCGAAACCACTGAGCTAAATCCCCAGCCCCTGTACCAATAAAATTAATTAAAAAAAAGTTTAAGGCTCTCTTGTGTCTCATTTGCTGTTAGGAGGATAATGTCTTTCCTCGGTTTGGCACAGGGAGTCGGGCACTTTGCAAACTAAGTTGCAAGGTCTCACCAAATACAAAGGTTGGCTGTGAGGGGACACCGAACCAGTACTTGTAGAAGGACTCGCTATTCCTCCATTCAGTATTTAAAGCCGAACATGTGGGCCAGGCCCTAGGTCAGTCCCCAAAGACACTGCTGTTCCCTAGCACACAGCTATAGAGGTCCACAGTGGCTATGTCAGTGGCCAAACAAGTCTTGATGAGACCTGTGAGCCAGAGGAAGACGCTAAGGGCTTGAATAGCTGCTATCTATGATGTATGGATTTGTAGGTGGTCATCTCTGTACATTGTTTCTTTTTTTTGGTACCAGGGATTGAACTTGGGTCCTTGCACTTGTAAGGCAAATGATGGAACCACTGAGCTAAATCCCCGGTCCCTGTACATTGTTTCTAAGACTCACAAGAATACTGCCCCATGGCTATCATAAGCCTCCTCTTACAGATGAAGAGACAGGTTCTGAGGATTTATAGTATGTAATTTTTATGTTGCAGAGCCAATTCTCCAATTTACATCTGCCTAGGATCAAAGTTCCTGATCTTTTCACCACATCCCATGGTATTTCTTCCCTAATCATTAGAGCACTTGGTGAATTCTTTAGTGTGTGTAGGGTGTCAACAACTTGGTCCATACATTGGCTTGGAGGGAGTACAATTATGTGCAGAAATACATCTATTGTTTATCTTTCTTAGAGCTCCATGATCTCCCATAAGTTAAGATCTGCTATAAAGGAATATTAATAATTTTTGTATCTTCTGAAAATAATCTTATAAGGACAAAAGGTAATACTATTTGCCCCCTGTTTAAAGATAAAGTTTTTGGGCTGGGAAAGTAGCTCAGTGGCACTGTGCCTGCCTCTCAAGAGCAAGGTCCTGAGTTCGATCCCTAGTACCAAAAAAAAAAAAAAGATAAGAAAGTTTGGCTCTGTCACAGAATATACATGTCTCCCTTTTACTTCGGGAATGAGCAAATCCTTTCATCATACTTGTAAATAATCTAAGTATAGACTTCCCTGAGGGGAAAGGCCACTCAGAGTGTGTGTGTGTTCCTAGGACCTACTAAACATGTAGTTTTTTTTTTTTAACATGAAAAAGCCTCATCATATGGCCCCTCTCTAGCAATCTATTTAAAGCCCTTTTCTTGCAAACTTGCTATTATATTGAAGCTCTAAATATAAAACAGGCTTGGGCCGGGGATTTAGCTCAGTGGTTTTGTTGCCTGCTGCACAAGCGCAAGGACCCGAGTTTGATCCCCAGTACCAAAAATAACAACAACAACAACAACAACGAAAACCAGGCTTAACTGGAGGTCAGGGGATCACTCTTCCCTCACCTTGCTCCTTCCTACTCTGCAGATATATAAAGCCTAAGCCCTGCAGCCTTCACTTCTTCCGGCCAAATGTTGCAATTCTTAAGGCAGACTCTTGAACATTACTTTGTGCCCACCACCTGTTACTCTTTGCTTTCAAAAGGAAGAGAGAGTCCAAAAATAGGGAACAAAGCAGATTTCCCCCCTTAATAATCAGGGATTCGGGGAAGGCTTCATTCAGACACAGTGAAAGAAAAAAAGAAATGTTTTATTTAGATAAATTAAAATGGCTGTATTACTGATATGAAATAAGCAAAGCTTGAATCAAGTCATGGAAACCTTGAATTTACTCTCTAAACAAAACCAAAATTGCTTATGCATTACCAAAATAACTTCACTAAAACAAAGTAGATTTACATTTCTTAATATGAGAAAACGAAAAGGTAGGTTAGGTTCTTATAACAAATACATGCTCTATATAAAGTCTCACGAATACCCAAATGTGTTCTGGTTTGGATATGAAAGAAGGTACCACAAATCAAGCAAGCCAGTGAGGTGTACAGCAAACAAAAGCTGTCACTAAAAACAACTCAACAGGCTGTTAAGAGTATGAGCCCATTACAGTCAAAATCCTCAACTGTGACCAGCAGGACCAGCAAGCAGGGCCTGAATAAGGTTATGTCCAGCAACTGCAAAGAAAGAAAACTGCAAGGGAAGGGATAACAGCCAATAGCAGGGGAAAGGTGTCTACTCCTCTTTTGCCGATCAGACCCATTCCTGAGTGTGAAGCACCCTCCTCTCCTTCAGACAACAATACAGTTATCTTGAAGCCAGGTACTTTCTTCTTTTGGTTTTTCTCTTTCTATACTACTGTTTGCCTCTTTTGACTTATGAGGAGCCTCTTTAAGTAAACATTATGTTAGATATCACAAGGCCACAGAACGAAAGGATCACAAAGCAGTGCTTTGGGAAGCTAGAGAAGCAGTGGGAACTGCCAGACTGAAAAGGTAAAAGGATTCACCAAAGCCAGACTTAGCACCACTACTCAGTCTTTCTCTCAGAGCTGAGACGTGACAGATGAGGCCTGACTACAGCTAACAAGACACAGGCTAAATTAGGAGAACATAAAAATGAGAATCCCTAATTAACACTGAGTGGTGGGCTTCTGGGGCTCTTAAGTCAGTGTCTCTGCTCAACTTTGAACAAAGGAGATCTAGATACCTACCTCTGCCCAGGAGATATGGTAGTTTTTTTTTTTTTTGGTACCAGGGATCGAACTTGGGTCCTTGTGCTTGCGGGGCAGGTGACGGAACCACTGAGCTAAATCCCCAGCCCTGAGATATGGTAGTTTCTCAGGCAGGATGACAAAGGCCTGAGTGCAGCAGGGACGTGTATGGAAGACTTGGAAAGGGAGGGAATGGCATCACACATGGCTCTGGAGTGATGCTGGGAGACAAGCCTGAGGTGGGATTTTAGAAGAGAAACTGAAAAAAACCCGAAAGAACCCCACAAAATCTCCATGGGTAGTTATTGGATGCAAAAGAAAAGTACATACCACAAAGAGTTAAGGTGTCTGAAAGTATCTGCCTTGAATAAGAACTTGAAACTAAAAAGGACAAGGTACATTACCCTCCAGTATATTTCATATAAATCAGTTTTCAAAAAAATACCTTCCAGGTACAGACATACTATTTATGGTACAATATATACAAATATAGCAGTATAAGTCAATTTATTGCTAGAATTTTATTGGTTGTTACAAAACTGTAAGGGTGTATATATTAAAAAAGGGGGGCATGGAAGGCAGCCCGAAGAACAAGAGTTATCTTCAAGTTATGTAAAGTGCCAAGCAAATTTTAAATTATAATTTAATTCTTCCAAGAAAGTGAAATAGATGGGCAAGGAAAATGTTAAGGAAAAAAATTTAAAAAGAGAAACACAAGCCAAAATGAGATAAGCAGACACATGTATGGGAAAAAACTTTGTCTTGGTTTAACTAAATTTTAAGACTTCTAGAAAGAATTTAAGGTTAGTCAACACCAAACTGAATGCAATATAAAGAAAATAAAAAGGGAAATGTTTAAGGGTACTGGACTACATCCATGGATGACAGGGCAACTTGGACAAAATTAAATGGAAATGATCTTAACTAAAGAAGTCTGTGCTGTGAGAGCCTCTCTAGTTTCTCCCTAACTCACCTACATCAGAGTTAAGTTCTGTAAAGATTTTCTTTTGTGTTGCTCAGACTGCTTCTAGGAACAACACAGCAAGTCCAAGTCAACATAAGGTGACATGGAGGTGACATTATTCCTTCCAATCCAGGGGCCTTTTGTGTCAGGTTTACACAAATATTTAAAGGGAAAAATATTTTACTTGGTTCTTTCAGATTTGAAAAGAATCTGTTACCATCACGTGAAGGCTCTTGGTATATGTGCTGCAGAAGTGAGCACTTGTCAAGGCTCTTGCTCCAGCCCTGACTTCGATAGACCTGAAAATTGTAAGGAAACTTGAATATGATTTCATGTTTCATTTTATCTTTTTGGCCTTAGTCATCCCACCAAGAAATGTATCAGATTCTTTTATAAAATCCCAAAGGGTATGGGTTTCTGGGTCAAAATCAGAAGCACAGCTTTCCTCTAATGCTTTGGGTGGTCAGTCTGAGACAGTGACTGCCATTCAGAATGGAGACAGTACTGAAGGAAGGAGCCAGCTACAACTTTTTTTCTTTGTTTTTAAAGATAGGGCCTCATTATGTAGTCCAGACTGGTCTCCACTCATGGTAATCCTGCCTCAGCCTCCCAAGTGCTGGGATTACAGGTGTGTGCCACCATACCTTGCTCCAGTTATAGCTTTAAGGTAGACTTGAGAGTAGGATAGGTAGGAGAAGACAATTTAGCTTGCTTGGGAGGAGGGAAGGGGGGCTGTGGCTCCCCACTGGATAATGTTTTATGCTCATAAACCCTGAAGGAGAATTTAAAACTGAGAAAAATCCCCAACAACTCTACTGAGCCCAGGGCTGGCACTGTCCCCACGGTGTTCACGCCCTTACCTTATATACCAAACCCTAGGGCAGCACCAGGGCTTTTGAGGGTTGCTGTAAGGAGATGTGAACACAGCTTGGTAGCTACCCAGATCAGATTAGTGATTTTTAATAACAAGTCATTGTTCACATCCTGTTCAAAACCATTTTTCCTACTTTCTACACATATGCACAATCTTTCATTCATTTTAAATATTTACAAACAGAAAAGGCTTATCTTTTAAAGAAAAGACATTTTCTGAATCTCTATAAAGTGCAGCTAATTTAAGGCAAATTTATATGAAATATAAAAGGTGGTTTACTCTCTCTATATACACATTTTCCAGTTTTATTTATTTATTTTATTTTTTTGGTACCGGAGATTGAACTCGGGACCTTGCACTTGCGAGGCAGGTGGTGGAACCACTGAGCTAAATCCCCGGCCTCTACATTTTCCAGTTTTAAAACATAAGGTCTCCTTCTCTCTCAAAAAAAAAAAGAACAAGAGAAAAAAAGGACTTTATTTTTTTTCCCTAACAATTTTAAAATGTAAGATCATACTAGCTTCAGGAAATCATAAATTTCTGAACACTGTATTATAAGTAAAATGTTTTTCTTTTTTTAAAAAAATAACTTTTTATATAGCTTTTTCAAACAAGTTAAAAGGTGGCAATGTCTGCTACAGTAGTTTGGAGGACTGAGGGCTGATGGGTAAGTAAAAGAGTTGTTTTTGTTAGCAGGTAGATTTTAAGTTGTCCAGAGTATATATCTATTTCTAAAATATGCCTGATACAGTTAGACACCTAAAGCTATTCTTAGCTCTAGGAACGAGTATCTTCCATCTCCATTGGAATCAAATGCTCTCAAATTCTCTGGTTCCGGTATGGCAGAACCCAGGGAGTTCCAAATTTCCTGGTAGGTCAGCTTCCCATCCACGTCCTGGCCAGTCTTGTGGAATAAATCCTGAAGATCTGTCAAAAAGGAATTACAAAAGATGTATATGTCTATACATACAACTAAATGTAGTTAAAAGTAGCCTCAAGTGAATTTAAAGAACTAAAAGAACTAAAAGAAAAGCTGCTTTGCAGATTTTGTTTTTACAGAGGCAACATTTAGGATCTCACTAAATTAGAAAGACTGATTTTTGATCCTTTAAGAATGAGAAGACTACTTCATCACATTATCTTTGGCAAATAGAATAAGTGCCAGACAATCATAGAAGACATTCATGGATTGGCTTTCTCTGTGTCCAGGGCCTTCTGTTCAGGTTTTCCAGATTTTATTCTATGCTGAAAGAATGGAAAGGAATGCAGAGACCTATTCATAAGAGCTGGCCTATAAGAGACTATGGCGAGTGTGAGATCTCTTGTTGGATGGCTGAGTAGAAACTGAAGGAATGTCTTGGAAGTCCACAAAGCAGTAACAATCCCTAAGACTCATATTTTACTGAATTTTGATAGGAAAACCAAAGCTCAAAAAAGAAAGTAACTTACTGAAGGTCACAGAACTCTGACATAACTAGATATAGACCAGAGTATGCATTCTTATTTTACCTATTCTGGTGCTCTTTCTAATATGTGAAGTCACTTTGAATCCAGAAATTAAGCAGATCAAGGAGCAGGGATTCAAGACTGTGATAAGATACCATTTCATTTTCAAAAAATATTGGTGAGGATATGGATAAATTGGATTGACTCATCTTATATTGGTGATGAGAATGTAAAATGGTACAGCTTCTTTGGAAAATACGTTGGCAGTTCCTCAGAATATATATAATATGACCCAGCAATTTTATTGCTAGGTATATACTCAAAGGAAATGAAAACATACATCTATATAAAAACCTGCACACTAATGTTCATAGCAGCATTGTTCCTAATAGCCTCAAAGTGGAAACAACACAAATATTCAACTGAGGAATGAATGAATAAAATATGGTGGGTCCTTACAATGGAATATTACTCACCCACAATATGAGCAGGCCACAAAGACATTATGCTAAAAGAAGCATACTCAAGTTCACATACTGTATGATTCATTTATATGAAACATCCCCAAAGTGCAAATTTATATGGACAGTGGTTGCCAGGGGGTAGGAGTGGAAGGAATTGGGGAGTGACTGTTTAATTGGCAGAAAAATTTTTTTTGTTTGTTTTTTGAGACAGGGTCTTTCTACATAGTTTGGGCTGGTCTTGAACTCACTTTGTAGACCAGGCTGGCCTCGAACTCACAGTGATCCTCTTGCCTCAGCCTCCCAAGTGCTGGGATCCCAGGCGTGGGCTCCCATGCCTGGCTGATGGGCAGAGTTTTGTGGTAGGGTGATGAAATTGTGGAAGTAGATATTGGTGACAGTTGTACCACTAAGTATACTAGAAACCACTCAGTTATATATTTTGAAAGGCTATTGTAGTATATGAATTATATCCCAATTCTTAAAAAAGCAGAGAGCAATATTTTCTTCCTCTCTCTGTATATGGTTTAAAAAATTTGGTAGATAAGAAAGAGAGCAATATTACCAGTTGACCTGTATCATTTTTATTCCTAAGGTATTATTTCATTCAATATGACTGGAGAATTTCTACCAATAGCCCATAACATTTAAAAAAGACTCAATTTTATTCTCATAATCAAATAGAGGATTTAGTGTCTAATACTGAAGGTCAATGGGGCCTATGTTTCTTTAAAAAAATCTTCCTAAATTCTTTTCTTTTCTTCATTTATTCAGGATTCAATGGGCCTCTGGCTTCTTGGTACTCAGGAAGAATAGAAATGGCTTGAAGGAAGGAAAAGCAGTTCCAGGCCATCAACAAGTTCTTGTAAACACCTTCTGAACAGGGCTTGACTCTCATTTCAGTTAAAGGCCCAGCAATGCAGCTAGTAAAACCCCAAAAGCTCTATAACAGCCAGAAAAGCAGGTGGAGATGCTTCTTCCCAATGCCTGCTACCAAGTGGCTAGATAATTATTTTCATGGCTTGAGTTTATATAATACTTGGTAGCAGTATTCTAATAAAAATGATTGCTGGCCTGTAGGCAGGAGAACTAGGCCTACTCAAATGACTTTTCCCTAGAATTATGTAGCATTGCTCCCAACAGGATACCCTTAGAAGGACCCTAGACCTAGTCTTCTCTTTTTCTCCATAGACTCCATGATGTGGCATGGGAAATATCCTGCAGATCCCACCAACCTCACCATTAGGCTGAATCCTAATGTATCCTTAAAAACCAAAAACAATTCGATCCTGAGAATCTGAGGAAAAAACCCACACTGATTTTCTGATGCAATGCTGTTTGGATTCAGTATGAACTAGGAAATGGTGAGAGATGGATACAGAATGGCAGTCTAAATTACTATTCTTCTAGGTGAGCTGGTCCCAGCACCCGGAAGGAAGCTCCCCCACCTCCATCCCAGGCTCCTAGGGCAGTGAAGCTCAGCCGGTCCCAGCACCCGGAAGGAAGCTCCCCTGTCTCCATCCCAGGATCCTAGGCCCAAGAAGGTGAGCCGATCCCAGCACCTGGAA